AAAAAAAAAAAAAAAAAAGGAGAGGAAGTTGGATATAAACGAACAAATCAAATATTCACATATACATCTATATATACATCTACCTACATATATATACATATATATATATATATATAAAACTGCATACAAGTATAGTAATAGACACAAAGGTGGTGTGTGAATTGTGGGGGTTTACTGAGATTGGAATATTGGGTACGTTAAATACACACGTGTAAGTCTCTGAAGTGTCAGAATGGATGTACGGCGTAGAACCCCGCTTAGAGCAATGCGGCCAAAGGAGCCCAAAACAGGCACAAACTCTACGGCCGCATTAAGAAATTATATGCATTCCCCCAAACGCCCAGCTGCGGAGCGGCGCAACTTGCCACCGCTGCCAAAGGTGAGGGATGCTCAGAGACAACAACAACATCAAGAAGAAGAAGGAGAAACTCATGACAGACGATATTCCGTTTCCTCTTTGGAGCCACTACAGCCATTGCAGAGAGATGTGCAACATACATCAGGTGCTCTATTACAACAACAACAACAACAACAACAACAACCTCGTATATCGAGTGGAGTTAAAAAGAATGAAAAGGCAAAAAATGTGAGTGAAAGAGCTGGAATGCAAAAGCTTCATATTCGTCGTTCTGTTCCCCTACCACACTCTGTAAAAACACAAGAGCCAATTATCAATTGTGATACTTCTGCAACAAGAATAACAACACCCCAGCGTACATTTACATTTACCGATGATGATCAGATAAAATTTAATCGTTCTCTTGAAATTCTAAACACTATGATGAGTGTTGAATCTAAAAATGTGGATGCTCGAGCGTGGGTAACACGTTTTGTTGAAGGCAAATCTGAAGCACGTTTAAGCAAGGAACACCTATTTCCTGTTTGGATTCTTGTATGCTCGGATGCTGTTCTTGCCATTGATTTAAATGGTACATCAAAACACCGAAATTACAGTTGGATTTCTGAGTCTCAATTCACTTATTTTCCGCCTGATGGGTGTATTGTCTTTCCTCTCCAGGATGTACTTGTGAAGGGAGAGGTAAAACTTCCGCAGAGTGCGGCAGAAGCTGCGGCAATGCAGATGCCATTATCGCAAGAAATACGTTGGGGTGTTCCACTTGCGGTTTTATTTTTAAACCCACACGAGTCCTTATCTATTGTGCGGGATGTATGCCAGACATATCTGCCATCGTTTTTACAGACAATATATGCAGATGGGGTGCCGTTAAAAGGCCATTGGGAACCACGCGAAGTTTCGAGATTACAGCCGGGTATTATACCGCTTGCGAAAACTGTCTCGGATGCCATTTATTCCTGCATGTCAACTGCAGGGGTGGGGACTTTTGCGGGTGAGGGGAACCGACTGCGAGAGATAGAGCCACGTGATGTATCGAGTCCTCTTAGAAGAGACGATTTCACTCCAGAGAAGAAGAAAGAGGAAGAGGAACAACAGAAAGAACAAGAAGAACAAGAAAAAGAAAAAGAACAACAACAACAGCAGGAGGGAAGATCATTGGGTGAGGTGCGTGAATGGTGTAGTCCATGGGAGAGTAGCGGGAAGCAACTTATCTACACTGCACGGCTGTATGCATCCGGTACGGTGCCATTATCTTCAGCATCCACAATGGTGTGCCATGCTGTGCTTGTGTTAACTCCGCGAGGGCCGTTGGAACTCATTGTAGAGCCACCCACAATGAGAGTAACTGTTAAAGATGTGAAGAAAAGTCTTCTGCGTTCCGGACTGGGTCGTTCTCTGCGTCTACAACAGGATGCGGTGGGTTTTATCTACGCCCCATCTACACCTGTATTGGAGGAAGACGCTGTCATTGATGTTCGCTACGCAGTGCTACGTCTACAAACACAAAATTAAATTTTTTTTTTGTTTTTTTTTTTTTTTTTTTTTTTTTTTTTTTTTTTTTTTTTTTTTTTTTTTTGTTTCTTTTCCTTTTCTTTTATTGCTGCTTTTCTATTTGGCATGTCTTCATGGGTGCATTCGCGAGGTTATCGTGTCTTTGCATTTGTCATGTTGTAAGAAAGAAGGAAAAAAAAAAGTAAGAAAAAAAGGAATATAGAGCGAATCTTTAATGTTTCAAAGCAAAAAGAAAGAAGAAAAAAGTAAAAGTAAGTTAAAAAAAAAAACTGTGATAATATGTTTTTTTTTTATTTTTATTTTGGAACCACTCCCTGAGATTCAGAGACATCCAAAATGTTTGCTGAAGGGATTTTTTTTATATATGCACTATCTAGAGAGTGATGCTGATAGCACAGGATGATACTAGTTTATATATCAGTCTTTGTCAT